GCCAGTTTCATGTTAGGGATTCTGATATTTTTTGGTCTTTCTGTTTATCTTCGATTAAGAATCGCCTTTTGCGTAGGCAATCTCATTCAAGTTTGGTGTCTGATGTTGACAGTTCTCGACTAATGAACACAACGTGGTCACGTGGTCATAATCTTTCAACCGGAAGGCAGATTTTATCACGAGTTCTTTGCTGAGCATGTTTTCCATTATTACAATAAGCGTGCGAGGGGTTGTCCGGTCTGGATCATTTCTGCCTATGCGCTGGATTTTACTCAGTTTTTTGTCATCAATTTTGAGGAAAACAAGTATTTTTTCAACTGCTTTGATGTCAGCTTGGAATTGCTCGTCGGGAGTACCCGTGGTGTTTTCGGGTACACCTCTTATGCGAACTCCAAGGTTGCTTAAAGATCGAACTGGTGGTAGCGTATCGATCTTTTTGCCCATTTTCACTGCACCGAGTGATGCGGTGAAATTCTGCGGCTTCGTTTTTTTCACCTCATTGAGTTCTAGTTTCACAGTTTCAATCAGGGCATTTGATGTGGTAATGTTCTCTGTTAGTGTCTTCATTTGGTCTTTGATTTCAACTAGTTGGGTATCGATTTTAGTCAAATCGTTTTTTGGACAGTTTTTGGGTCTTGCTCTTTTTTGTTTACACATTGGTTGCAAATATTGAGGATGTTTGCTTTACACTTGATGAAAACGTCTAGGCTATTTTGATCAAAATCAGTGCATTCCGGTGTCATGTGTAAAACTTTTTGACAAAAATAACACACAAATCTTTCTTTCTTGATTTTTTCTTGACAAGTGTAACACTTGTTTCCTCGATTCGCCATTCTGATTTTGCTTTACAGAATTTGGTTTGATCAGATTGCTACTTCAACTTATTTGTAGTGCTTTAACTAGGGGAATGATAGAATACACTCAACCAGGTGGCTCCTCGCTAGAAGCGCTTTGGTTTAGTATATTCTACTTTTAAACTGCAGCAAAAAGAAAAACCAGTTGATTCCTCGAAAGGAGCCCTTTGGTTTCTGATTTACTACAAGGGGAGTATGTGCTTACTTTATCGACTGCTGAGGAAGGATCCGCACTTGCAATCAGTAGCTGAGGAGCACTAGTACACATTTGGGTGTCCTTGATGTTCGAGTTCGATCGAGTAATGTTCGTAAAAAACTTTCGTTTCTAGTATCACTCGAATTTGATTTATTCCCTTCCCGCTGAGGTGCACGCAGTCACGATCGGAAATATGCGTTTCTGAATACACGCGTTCGGCTAGCCCTCGGAAGTTCCAACGAACTTCTTTTGATGCGTTTGCTAGTCTCTGGTTTACTGCTAGATGGCAAATCAACTCGTTGTCTTCAAAAATTTCGATTTCAGTTTCGGGTGGGATTCGGGGGGCTATACCGATTACGTACAACTTTTTCGCAACAGTTATCAACGTGTTTGCAAGGCTTTCGATTCGCTCAAATACTTCCTGTGGAGTAGCCACAGAGGGATGGCATCCACTGTATAAGTCGTTTCCGCTGACAAATAAAACAATGATTTCGTATATACCTTGTGGAGGGACAAATTGATATACATTGGTTACAGTTGCTCCTGGTTGCGATAGGATGTTGATATTCCCAAATGTCAGATACCTGGCTTGGGAGTCTGCAATCAGGAGAGCTTTCTTTGGGGATATTTTAAACAGGTGATATCTCATTGAAATCTTGTCTTTAAAATCCCCCCATTGGAGGCCTTCCACACAAGATTTTATACATTTCACTTGAATGTATAAAAGCTTTTCGCTACCCAAAAGTTTCAGGTGAAGATTAAATAAAAATGACATTAGTAAGGACCCTTTTAGATTAATGGCACACAAGATTATATAAGCAGCTGAGTAGGGGCAGATCTAGGATTTTCTCGAGGTGGGGACGGATTTTGGATTTTCAAAAGAATTCGAAAA